GCGTTTTTTGCCTTAAATTGTTAATAATTAAAAAATGGCTCGAAATTCAAGGCAGGAAACAAGTAGGTTTTCTTCCTATAGGTCTACAATAACTAAAAAAGTTGTCAGTGACCTGGATTATTGAGTGTCACGAACATGGTCTATTTTTTGCTTATTTCCCTGGCGTAGGTATATATTTGATAAAGATCTGTGTAATTTCTCTGTCGCTTGCTATGATAGAAGTGTCATCGGTAAATGTTTCAATTGTATTATTTTCTAGGACAATAATATAATACGTATACAAAAGGTATACAAAAGACACTTCTTTGTGGCAGCCCTGCTATAATTTCTTTCAGTTCCGTTTATGTATATTCCTGTTTAATTCTGAAATATCTTTCCAAGATGCAGGATTCAATTATTTGAGAGTATCGTTTTGGTAAATATAGTCTTAATTTATAGTTATGGCATCTTTGCCATACTTTATCATATATCTGAGTCACAACCTAAATTGTCCATCATACTATCCTTCATGATCCATGTTTTACATCCATATAGTAATACAGTATATTTACATATAACAAATTAAATCCTTAGTTGTAAATTTTTAAAATAAGTACTTAGTATACATCTAAGTTTCATAAATGCTTCTCATAAATCTAAACTTTTGTAATCCGTTGTTTGTTGACAATTAGTTGCATGGGGCCGTCTTGTTTACTAACCACAAGTAAATTATCTTATTTCTTTCATTTGACAATAATAATTGTCCGTTAGATTAGTATTATAATAAGTAAATTAGTCTCTTATTGAATGATAATAAACAACACAGCAAACGTATTCTGAAACTATTTCTTGTGTCATGTTATATTTTATTAGATTTTGGTGTAATAAACCACTGCCTATCAAATTCAATATCAAAAATCAAAATTTGAAATGATAGCGTGACTAAATTATTTAAAAAATTTTAAATTTAAATTTAAAAAATTTTAATAATCAAAGTGTTTTCATGTAGATCATTACTTCAAAATTAACTAATCTTTTAAATTTTTGTTAAATGTTGTTTTGTGAAGAACTGTTATTGTTGTTTTATGTTATTCAAGATGTACAACTGCCTTTTACTATTTTTAATTTTATGTAAATTAACCAACATTTTTTTATAATTTAAATGTTGGTAAGCTTTTCATTATTTTTTGTTATACCTACTCATTTAAATTTTTTTCTACTTTTAATATTTTCTTCTCTGCATTCAATCTTCTTTTGCATTGTAGAATTTCTTGAAAGAGGAAATAAACTTTTCAATATATGAAGTTGATTTTCAATATATCGAGTGTTAAATACCGAAATCAGTCTATACGAGTCAAAAGTCAAAATCTACAACTTTTCAGGAGAGCAAAAAAACTTCGCTGCTTGGTACATATTTTTTTTCTCTCAATAGTTACTTAGTTATTACAACAGAAATACATTTATTGAATTATTACATCAGAAAAGAAAGTAGAAAAGAAAACACGTGTACTAAGCAGTGACGTTTTTTCGCTCTACTGAAAAGTTGTAGATTTTGACTTACGAGGTTTCGGTATTTAACCATGTATATATCATCATCAACCATCATCATAAATGCCTCGACAATCCGTCTTGGCCTGCTCACACAGAAATCGCCACTCCTGTTGATTCCTGGCAACTTCCCTTCATCTTCTGACCCTTAGAATCCGCTTCTGACACATTATCAATCCATCTTCTTCTTGGTCATTTTTAACTACTTCTGCCCTCTTGTTTTGAAAATGTTAATTTCTTCATGTATTCGTGATCTGACATCCTAGTAATGTGTCCAGTCCATCTAAGTCTCTGAGACGCCATACTCCATTTTCATTTACGACCTCAAAAATCTTTCTAAGAATTTTTCTCTCAAAAATACCAAGAAGTCTTTCATCATTTTGAGATAAGATCCGCGTTTTAGCCCCATATATCAAAATCGGTCTTATTAAGTTCTTGTATATATCGAGCTTTACTGCACGTTTTATATTTTTATTTTCTAAATGTTTCTGGAGACCGTGAACAGTTCTGTTTGCTATTGCTATGCGTCGTTTTATTTCGTTTCTTGTCGTGTTTGTTGCGTTTACTAGCGATCCAAGATAAGTGAATTCTTTGACTTGCTCAAAGGTATGGTTGTTAATTTGAATTATCTGTTGGAAAACCAACCTATATTTGGTTTTTCCTCATTTCAAGGCTTGTAAAACACTGCACCATGTCTCTTATATTTAAAATAGTTACATTCATTATATTTCATTTTCTGGTTGCCTTTTCCAAGGCAACATTAAAGAAGAGACAAGCCAGCGCCTCCCCCTGTCTTATACCATCATTAACGTCAAAGCACATGGAGTTTTCTCCTTCAATTCTAACGCACGAACTCACGTTTTACATTGTTAGTTGGGTCAACTTAACTAACTTCGGTGGGATCCCAACCAAAGTCTATCATTGCTTAACACTGTCATAGGCTGTCATAATGTGTATCTATGTTATATTCTAGTGACTTTTCTAGAATCTGCCCATGTGCTTGAATTTGATGTATAGTTGATTATGTAGCAGTAAATCAACAATATCCTTTGTAAAATGTTTGTCTTTCAAACAATACATTGCCGAAGATTTTATACGCAGATGCTAACAGAGTAATGCCTCTATAGTTCTTACAATCCAGCTGATAGCCCTTTATGCAACGCATATTATTTCATTTAGCCACTCTTCTGGTACCAATTCATTCTGCCATATAAGTACTATTAGTTTATGGATTACTGCAAAAAGTTGATCACCACCTTCTCATACATTTCACAACAGATTTAATCGATTCCTGTGGCTTTATTGGCTTTTTGTTTTAAGACGGCATTTGACACTTCTATTATTGTTGGGTCTTCACTATGTAGTTGACAATGTACATTTTGTTGATTGTCTATGTTGTAACCTCCTTCAATATCGTGTATATAATATATTATATAAATATATATAATATGATATAATAACAATGTACCTATACTCCGTAATATGATATAATCCGTATAAAACGTCTTCCGACGTCCATTTTTCATTGAATTCGGTTATTCCATTGTTCTTTAAGTACTTTCGAGCTCATTGAGTTTTTTATTCCTTCCATCCGTGTTTTCTACGGTAGTCCTCTCTTCTGGATTCCTGTAGTTGTTCATAGAGGTACTTATTCTCATACTTTATTGCATCCATTTCAGCGACATATCTTTCTTCGATGTCTCTGTTAATCGTCTCGTTTCACAACCGTGTAAATAAAAGCATGATTTTTACCATAGTTTCATGGGTTCTAGTACTAGAGAGAGCATGTCAGCTGAGCCAAAACGAAAAAATAATCCTCCTGATTGCTTCCACTGGAATAAACTTGATTGTTTAACTGGGCCCGGACTACCTTCTTCTAATTCTTTAAACTCCTGTTTTGAAATTAATAATAATCATTATTTTGTCTAATTACCTATTTAGTTCTCAAGACAGATACATTGTTACCTAAAGAAGTGAAAGTGGTTCAATTTAGAAATTATATCGTAAATAATAAATATTTGAAAACTAATGCATATATTCCTCCCGCGATTTGAGCCACTAATTTTATAAATCGCACCACTAATAGACGCAAATCCCTTCATTTTAATTTCATGAATGTTTTTATTCGCCACATCTCAACATTTTCCATTTCAGAATATTTATCATCAAACTGTAATATACGTTAAAAGCCAATTTGTCAGCAAAAAAATAAGAACAAAAGAAAATATAAGACATAAAAAAACCAATACACTTATATCTTGTTATACATTATTTTGTTATAAAATTTTATAAAAGTTTGTCTTCGATTTAATTGTTATGAATTATTTACAGAACGATTATTTGTTACCTGTATGTACCCTTGCTAAGTTGTGAATTAATTATTCAATAAATAATATTACTCTGGTCTGGTATACTCGTATTATTCTAATTACCCCATAATCGCAATAAATAGAAGACCTCCCGCTCGCTTTATTGTATACACCCAAGACTTCACAATAGGGGGTTGTAAATAGGTAAAAATATAGATTATAGATAAATTTAGTACCAGATGACGTTTAGAATATTCTTCGTGAATGGATTTTGTGTTCGTAAAGAAAGAATATTTTTGAAATAGATAGCTCACTGAATTTTACCGTTAGGATTATCGAGGGAGAAAAGAATATTTTGTAGCGATACCTGAGTTTGTGAAACTCACGATATGGATACTGAAATTTTATGTATTTCTACGTTATTATATGGAATAGAGGGACGCTGAAAAGGATATAAGTAGGTAATAGAATAGAAGTTTTTGACTTATGGGAGTATAGAAAAATTTTTAAAACTAATTTGGGTCGATACGGTTATGAACAACGTCGTTTTGTAAAAGAAACAAAGGAACATGAGATGTTAAATATCATGAATTTTGCAAACTCAGGTATCGCTACGAAATATTCTTTTCTTTTAATAAGGAATGTTAGACGGATTTTTTCTTAAATGTAACTTTGGTTTACGACTTATGAAACGCTCTGAAATATCGACCATATGGTGTGTACGGCCAAATTTACTATTCCTTCTTCACTCTCGAGCAATAAACATGCATTTTGTGAATTTTAAAATATAACGTGTATTGTGAAAATCATATGTTAGAAGTTAATAAATAAAGAGCTTATTGAAAATGGCAAGTGGCCGAAACATCTAAGCAAAATAAAGTGTTTTATTAAAAAGACCGGCAACCCAGCAAATAAAAATTTCTATTTAAAAATTCACAGTCAGGAAATAAGCTATATATATATATATATATATATAATATATATATATAATATATATATATATATATATATATATATATATATATATATATATATATATATAGCGTTGATTACGTTCTTCTCAACACCCGTTGTTCGTTTTATTTTAAAAATATTATAATAGTTCATCTTCAGTAAGTTCGTATCTTTTTCCTGGAATAATTTTGTTTCTTTCTCATATTTTAGGAACTTAAGAAGCAAAAAAGCTACTTTAAACAAAAGTTTTCCATCAAATAATTCATTACATCAAGGATCAGTAGAAACATCTACTTTACCTAGTTGTAGTGTCGATTCGTAAGTAACCCTTTTACAAATGACTATATTTTATGATAATGATATGGATTGGTAATCTTATTGAATACTTAGTAAAGTAAGTAAATACAGGGTTCATGACCTTACATAGTATTTGTTTATGGTCAAAACATTACCAATGTTTTACTCTTAAATAATAATAATAACATAATATCATTTGCAGAAAATACTTTAATTTTTATCGTTATATATAGTGATAGCTGTCATTCTTAGTCAATTGAGATTGCATCTCAGCAAAAACCATCTTTTTCAGTAGAAGGCAGAAGAATAGTGGACATGAACTTTTTCATTAAATCGATTCAAGGTTTGAATGATCATTCTCCATTTCCATGCAACTTTTCTTATATGGAGATTATCAAAGAAAAAATGGACGGATTGATAAGTACATTGACTTTTAAATGTAAAATGTGCAATATTGAAAAGGAGATAGCAACAGAGGATTCTGGTAACAATTCACTGAACTTGAATATAGTACAAGTGATGGCTACTATATCCACCGGGTCTGGTTATTCAGACATACAGCAGCAACACGCTGCATTAAATATACATGTGAAGTCCTAAAGGGAGACATACGGAGACAGTTGCAGATATTATCTGCCAAACACGTAATTCCATAGAAGAGGCTGAATGGGAGGAATTAGCTTTAGCCAAAGAAATTGGTGAAGTAGATTCCGACGGAAATGGGTTAATAACCGTTATAGCTTATGGTGCTTGGTCCAAAAGATCGTATAAAGTAAACTACGATGCTTCTTCAGGTATAGTAAGTGTGTTGTATTGACAAGATAGACAATGTTTCTATATATTTTGTTTTTTAGGCTTGCATAGTCTGTGCCAAAACTGGAAAGATTTTATTTGTTGCTAGAAGAAATAAATACTGTATTATATGCGCAAGAACTGTAACAAAAAATGAAACAGTTAAATCCCATACATGTCCTAAAAATTGAAAAAATATAGAAACTTATATAATAGTTGAAGGTTTTAAAAGAAGTGTGGAGATGCGTCGATTAAAATACATATAATTAGTGGCTGATGGAGATAGTAGTGTATATAATTCATTATGCATTAAAAAACCATATGGTCCAAATATTTTAATAAAAAAGGTTGAAGGCATAAATCACCTTTTACGCAATTATTGCAGTAAATTTGCAGCAAAAAAATTAACTAAAATGAAACCTGTGGCGCCAGAACTAAGAAAACGTTTGTCTAGTAATATACTGAGATTAAGACTAGGAATCAAAACAGCGATAGCCTACAGAAGAAATGAAACAAATAGTATAGAAATTTAAATGAAAAACTTAATAAAAGACATAAAAAATTGTCCGTACCATGTCTTTGGAGAATATACTGTGATACATATTTTTGTAAATGATTCAAAGAAAACGAAATAAACTTTGTTATCAAATTAGAAGAATGAGGATTATTGAATGGCATTCTCTCGTGTGGGAACATACTAATTCAACATATACATAGCTTATTGTTGAATATGAATAATAATGCAGCAAAAACATATAACTGTGTGATTTCAAAATTTGTTTCGGGATTCGACTCTGAACATGTAGCTAATACGTGTTTAAAAACTAGTGAACCAGCAGTGATCCAGCAGTGAAATAGCAAAAATAAATACAACAGAGATAGTAAGTTACTTTAATTGTAACAGTTTTTACTATTATCACGATTATCAAATATTATTTCGGATAACCTACAAAATCTAAACCTAAAAATCAGAAGATGGCAACATGTTGCCAAAAACCGAACAGAATGGCGACGAATCTTAGAGCAGGCCAAGATCCACAGAGGATTGTCGAGCCAAAGATGATGATGATGAACCTACAAAATCTAGGACAGGTATACCAAACCTGTTCCACTACAGACTAAGAAGGTTGTTTGCCAGGACCGTACTCCAGTTATAAATGTTAATTTAAAATGGATAGTTCTATTCAATCTGAAATTCCTACAAATAATAATAAATCAAACAGCTCCTCATCATATCAATTTAATGGATTACCTACATATTCTTCCGTAACAAATCAAACACCACAATCTAATACATTTCCAACAAGAAAACAAGCAATTATTTTTGATGCAATTGAAAATACCAAACTAGATGATTACTTGTCCGCTCTGAGTAGTCTGATACAACCAACCCAGATCATCTTCTGTTCAAAATTATCAAATAATAGAGTATGTATTTATTTAGCAAACGAAAAACTAGCTGAGATTTTATAAACAGAAATGAAAAAATTCAAATAAACCAACAACTCTTACAAGCTCGTAGACTAATTAGCCCAGTCAGCGATTAGTATTGTCCAATGTCTGTCCCTCAATCCCACACTCAGTCCTAATATCAGCATTAAAATCACATGGATTAAATCTTCTGTCACCTATAACATTCCTAAGAATAGGCACATCAACACCACAATTCCAGCATATTTTGAGTTTCAGGCGCCAAACATGCATATCTCCACTAAATAACCTGATTACCTGATTCTTTTCTTATCACGTATGAGGAAACGACATACAGGATTTTCCTATCATTAGATAACCAAGCTTGCCAAACATGTAAACAAACCAACCACTTAACAAAAAATTGACCAATGTCTACTGCAATTACAACAGATAATTCAGCATCAAATAATCCAGTTCCAAATGTAGACCCAATTGAAAATACTACTAATCTATCAACTCAAAAAAGCCAGGCACACACTAAACAACAACAATCAAAAGAAGAAAGCATACAACAAGAAACCCAACCACAATATTCAGAAACAACAAACTACCCAAAAATAGATCTAGAAAATAAGGCAACGCATATAAACACAGGCAAAGCACAAAACAAACGCACAATCTCCTAAATCTCTCCACCAGCTACTACATCTACAGAGGAACCTACTTTTATTACACCAAAAAACAAAGAAGAAGGTAAAATCAGATCAAAATGTCAAACCACAAAAACACTAGAAGAAATGCTAAAATACTGTAAAACTTTATTTGAGAACCCAAATTCCAATTACCTTTAACTTACGAATAGTTATTAGACTTTTTTGAAAACTGTGAGAACTCACCAGACCCGTTAAGTATCTCCAAAATGTATACAGAAGAAACAGCAGAGGTCACAGATTATTAACTAATATAACTATTAACTAATATATACCCTTACCTAAAGTACCGAAGAATTAAAGTCAAATGCACTCGAATAAAAAAATAAAATATTAAAGCAAATCAACTTAGACCTTCAAACAGATTTAGAAAGCGACGCATCAACAGAAAATTAATAACACATCATTTTCAACTCTCTATTTCAATGGAACATAAATGGGTATTATACCCATTTAGAAATGTTAAAATTATTAATTTCAAAACATAAACCTAGTATATGTTTACAAGAAACCAACTTCAAAAACAACAAAGCTCATGACTTAAAGAATTTCAATCGTTTCTTTAGGAATCGAGAAAATTCGAAAATTGCAATTTGAAGGGTAGCAATCTACATAAAAGATAGTTTTGACGCTAAACCAATAAAACTCACAACAACTATCGAAGCAATTGGAATTAGAGTCACAGACACAATTTCTTTTTCAATTTGCAATATTTACATTCCCCCCAATAAAGAACCCGATTCAAAAGAAATTTCAACCTATTAAATCAACCACCTACCTGCTCCACGGATAATAATTGGAGATTTCAATGCACATAATCCGTTATGGGGTTCAGCAAAACTAACATCTCTAGGTCGAAAAATAGAAAAAATAGAAGAAGTCAACCTAAATATCCTTAACGACGGACAACATACGCGCTTTGACATAAGAAAAGGTGAAGGCTCTAGTATAGATCTATGTATTTGCGAACCATCAATTACACATACTCTTACGTGGGACAAAATGTCTAATTCCAAACCCCATAAATCAGTCAACTTTCTAACTCAAAATAACACTATTTATAAAAGCGCAGAAGAAATATCCAATATACTAGCATCTCCGTATGAATATAACTCAAGTAACTTAAATTATACTTCCAATTTCTTAAAAATCAAAATAAAAGAAGAAAAAAATCCTATAGAATATTACGATCAAAATAATAACGATCTAAATATACCAATAACAGAGGAAGAATTAGAAAATGTATTTCAGAATTGTAAGAACACTTGTCCTGGACCCGACAATATACCGTTTATATTTCTAAAAAATTTAGGACCTCAATCTAAAAAACATCTACTCAAAATCTACAATATAATCCTATCCAGAAACGTATTTCCTAAATCATGGAACAATTCAATCATAATACCTATTCTAAAACCAACCAAACCAAAATCAGATCCACAAACATATCGACCGATATCACTCACATGTAGCATAGGTAAAATATTAGAAAAGATAATAAACAATAGGCTTATGTGGTATTTAGAATCAAACAACTTAATTATTCCAGAACAATGTGGTTTCCGAAAACATCGCTTAACTTTAGTCAACCTCGTTGACTTAGAATCAGAAATCCACGATGCATTTGTGTATAAAACAACATTGTGTTGGAATATTTTTTGATATAAGCAAAGCATATGATACAGTTTGGAAATATTCAATCATTAAAACACTCAGCAACTGGTTAATAAGGGGTAACATATTAAAATACATAACATGTTTTATCTGGTCTGTTCTTCTCTACGGAGTCGAAACGTGGACTTTAAAAATAAAGAGCCTGAATAGAATCGAGGCATTTGAAATGTGGGTGTACCGTAGAATTTTAAAAATTCCTTGGACAGCACGAAAAACAAATGAAGAAGTACTAGCTAGACTCAATTTAGAAAAAGAACTATTGAGAACAGTCAAAAGAAGAAAAACCAGTTATTTAGGGCATTTGTTGCGCAACGAGAAATACTACATCCCTCAGTTGATAATAAAAGGCAAAATAGAAGGAAAGCGAGGAATTGGAAGAAAAAAATTGTCCTGGTTACGTAATATCAGAAACTGAACAGGACTGGGATTTGA